CGATGATGACAATCTCCTTATTTACACAAGGGGGCGGCTATTATATGCCGGGGACGCTTTACTCCCATTTTCTCATTTCTTCCCCCACAATAAACCCTTGAGATACAATGTTTAATTCCCATGCCCAGGAACAACAATGTATCAGGTAGAGACGAAAAGGATTTTTTCAAGGGTTGAAATCCAGGCTAACTAGCTCCCGTGCGAGCCTCGCAGTCTTTTCTGGCAGAGAAACGAGGGAACGGAGGACCTCCAAGGATCTCCAAGGGATGCCAGGGGAGTACAATGAAATAATGGATGTGAAAAGGCCTCGGTGAACAAGTGCAAGGGTTAAGGCCTACCCCCGTTGAATTACTGTTGAAAACTGATTTCCCAGGACCCCCGTCCAACGGTTCCTAGTCCCGACCCTGCCCATTCTCCGCCCAATCTCCGGCGATCTCTTTGAATCTCTTTCTCTAGCTCCTCCGATCCGGCCCCCAAACACTTGGCTGAGCAGCGGACCGGAGAATAGAAGGTACGCGCGCAAGCGGGAGGCGGGGCCTAGCTCCCGGATCTCTCTCGGGGTGGGGGGGTGGGGCGGGGGGGCGGCTTGTGCGCAGGCGTGCTGGCTCCTCGGCTTCGCCTGCCCCGTCTCCGCGGCCAATCAGAGCCCGCGGCGCGCTCGGGACGTCTTAACGCTCTCCGAGTCGTTGCGTGCGAGGGGGGCGACGTAAAGGGCGCTCGGCGAGTCCGTCTCTCCTCGAATGAAAGGAAACAACCTCCGGCGACAGAAGCCCGCTCCCAGGCGCTGCCGGAGAACCGAGAGCCGACTTCTTTCTCTCGTCCCTCATTGGCGCGCCTCGCCCGCCGCTCGCCTCGGGGCCCCCCCCCCGCGGTGAGTCCCTTTCTCTCCCCCCCCACACACCCCCGGTCCCCCCCGCGGCCCCCCATTCTCTGCCCGGCGGGAGAAGACAAGGAGGATGGCGGTAGCCAGGCCGCCGCCCCTGCCCGTTGTGAAAGGCGGTGTGTGTGTGTGTGTGTGTGTGTGGTGGTGGTGGTGGTGGGGGATTCTCGGGGGTCTCAGACCGCTTTATTGTCAGGGACCCCCCCCCCCAGGAGCGCCGCCCGCGGGAAGGCGCTCGGCCGAGGACGCCGCCGCCGCCGCCGCCGCCGCCGCGAAAAGTGCGGTTGGAGGCGCCCGGCGAGAGGCGGGGTGCGAGCGGAGAGTTCGGGGGCGTGGGGGGGGGGCGCAACCTTTGGAGGAGGAAAAAAAGAATAAGAAGAATAAGAAGAATACAATTTCTGGGCATTTTTGGAAGTCTTGGCCGCTTCGGGACATATTTGGAAAGGAGGGAGACTCCCGGCCTGGGGGTGGTGGGGCGGCCGTTGAAGGGGGAGAGAGAGTGAGAGGATGGTGAGGAGGGCGAGGGGCGGGGGGGTGAGTTTGGGGGAGCGAGTGGGGGGTGGAAGGAAAAACTCCGGGGTGGGGGGGTGTTTCGGGGTGAAAGGGAAAGGCGACGAGGAGAGGGCGAACTCCGGAGGGGACGGGGTTGAAAGAAAAGTGGGAGCCGGCTTAGTTTCCCGGCATTCGGGGGATCGCGGGGCGGGGGGGGGGGGAGGTGGTGGTGGTGGCGGATCGGAGAAAGGACAATCGGGGGACCCCGACTTCACGGCGGGAGAGGAACCTGCTGAAGTCTCTCTCGAGACGGAGAGTTGTGGCGAGTCGCTCGCGCGCCCGACTCCGAGCAGCTCCTGAAGGGGCTGAGTGTGCAAGTGGGGAATAAATAACGGAGAGCTTCCAGTACGCCCCGTGTACCATCCTCTATTATGTGTGACCCAGCAGCGCGGCGTTCTGGGCAAATTGGTTCGTTTCGATCTTCAGCGTGAAAGTTGGTGGGGGGGGGGGGGGGAGAGGAACCCAAACCTTTCTTTCTTTCTTTTTGAAAAAGCCTTTCTTTTCCCGGGCTTTGTCCCATCGTTCCTATCGGGTCTTTATCCCTTACCGGTCTGATTCTTTCTCCTCTCCTGAGGTTTGAAACAACTGGAAAATTCCTTCAGTTTCCTTTTGAATAACTGCAAAAAAAAAAAAAAAAGCAGCAGCAGCAGCAGTGCGAAGCTTGTAATAATATCGTGCAACCAAAATCAGGTGCCCTTCCGGTTCCTCTCAGTACTCGTTTATTTCTCACCACCGTAACTTTCCCGGCCGAAATGCTGCATCTTTGGGGAGCAGCTTATGCATTTTGATCTGTGTGTTTCCACTTGGCTGGCATGTGGAAATTTGCTTGATCTTCCGGAACTGCCGTGTTTTTTTTTGTTTTGTTTTGTTTTGTTTTTCGGGCAGAATGGTCTTTTCGGATACCAGGCATTTGAATGAGCACTCCAGTTGGTTTCTTGAACGCGCTCCTTAGGATTTCAGGTTATTTCTTCCTTGGCGTGTTTCACAGCCGTATTCGAAAAGCAGAAATGCATTGATTGCTTTTAGCCTAACTAGCCCGGGTTTTCTGTTGGGTTTCCCTCACCAAAAAGTCAAGTTTCCCACGCTGTTCTCTTTGCTTCTTTCTTTGTATCAGTTTCATAACATTTTTACGATGCTTTTTTTTTAAAGGGCACGGTTTCATTGTTGGAGGAAAGCATCAAACTTTGATGATCTCTGGACATCGTGAAAAACCTTTAGGATAAAATTTAAATGTCATAAAGCTGTGTGTTTCATTATGGACCCCTTTATATTGTTCCGTGGGATGCCCTTATTCTCTTTAACTAGAGACCCCAAATGTGAAAACATTAGATAAAAATCTGTGTTTTTCTCATAAAGACATTTTTTGCCAGGAGTCATTGTTTCCTTCATCTTCTCCTCTTCGAGTTTCACAAGGAGGCTATAAAAAAAATCAAGCAAGATATGCACAGATGCACTATTTGAATTTTAGTGGAAAAATCCATTTAGTCATTGCACATTGGGGAAAGTTTTTCATTGGTTTGGTGTACTTTGTGTGTGTGTTTCTGTGCATTTGGCAAATTTTATGTAAACGGATTACAGGGAAAAAGGCAATAGAATATTTTTAAAAGCAAAATAAAGCCTACCTTTCCCCTCCCTGTAAATTTTAGTGTCTTTCATATTTAGAAGAGCATGTTCTCCAAATTAGAATGGGAAAAATTCCTTTTTATAAATGAAATAAGACAGAATGCAATAGGGATAGGATTTGGGGGTAGGGGTGCGGAATTAGCACCTTCAGGACAAATTCTAAGAATAAAAAGTGATTTTTTTGGTACTCCAGGAATTTTCTTTATCTTAACTGGTTTGTAGCCTGTGTTAAGATTATGTGGAATTACACATTAAAGATGTCTGTGCAGATTAGATTAATAATGTGCCATCCTTTTCAACTGAGTAAGGATGACCGGGAGAAATGCTGAATACATCAGAGCGGCTTGAGAGTGCCTGCTGTTCATTGCATTTGTAGTAATGAAAGCTAATTTAGAACCCAAAGAGCAAATTTTGCTACCATTTTTGAATTTTGATGTTTTGCATAGTTAATTCGAGAGATTTTGGCAGCCATATAAAGCAACTGAATACATATTTGTCTGAGCAAATGCAAACACTTCCCCTTTTGTTTCTTTTGTTTCTCTTCTGTCCTTTCCTTGTCTTTTAATCCTAAAAGTATATGCTGCCTGTTTTCCATCAGATTCATGCTTCATAGCTAGTGCTCTGAGTGCACAGCTTTTGTGAAGTGTCTGGTGCCATTAGAAATACAGAGGTATTTAAAATTGCAGATCGCCCTTAGCCTGGGCTAGACCCATCAAGGTCGAGACTGTAAGGGCCTTTGAAGTTTCTTTCAAAAGAATAACCTAGATAAAAATTGATGCGAAGGCCTGTTTTCTTTGTGTCTCTCTGGTCAATTTTGATTTGCATTTTTACATTGAAAAGCTCCGCAGGGTTTGTGAAAATACCACCTTGCTGGCTCAGAGCAGCTGCTGTTTGTGATGATGAACAAGGGCTGCTCAGAACGCCAGTGTAGTTTATACTTTAGTCCATTTCTCAACAGCTGTTTGAAAAATCTAGGCATCACTGGAAAATGGAAAAGAATGATGCAGAGGCAAAGGTGTCAGACTGTTGATTGTGATGTGTATTGTGGCAACCTGAGTCCTGAGCTGCTTAGTTCAGGTTTGGGCAAACTATACAAATCACAAGACAGGCACCAATTCTTACATTTGCGTAGTCTTCTCAAGAAACCTTGTGGAGATCGATGAGCTCAGTCTGAAACCTTCCTTGTTAAAAGTTTTCTTTCCCCTTTTTTGATGACATACCTCTAAGTATAATTTGACTAAGTAGAAGACTTAGAGAAACATTTCGGCATGCCACATTACTAATTTCAGCACCAAAGTTACTGTTTTGGAAAAGACTGTAGCTTGCTGTCTCAAGAGTTTGGAGCACTCTTCAAAGTTCTGTATGTTTTTATAAATAATAGATCTCCAAATTCTGAATTTCAGAGTTTTCATTAAATTAGTTGTTAGCTCAGTATTTCTTGAAAAAAAGAATGGAATGGCAATAATTGCAAAATTATGTTTCTTATTAAAACTTTTAGAAGCCATGGTTAAGTAAGTTCATTTGTCTCAGTTTTTGAATATGTGAACTTTTGGGAATTTTGTGAATACACAATTCTGTTCATTTCAGATATTGTGTTAAGATCCCTAGTAGTTTTGCTCTCCTCTTAGACGTGTAATTCTTTGTGTCCTTGAATAGTACGTGATAGGTATTTTGCATTAATGTCAGCAGATGATTATTTTAATATCATACATTGTACTTTTCCTTCTTGCCCACTCAAAGTTCTAAGTTTTTCAGATTCTCCCTAATCTGGGAATCATTTGATTTTTATCAGTTGTTTTGTTGATTTATATTTACACAGATACACATTTGTATTTTTTTCCACAGGGCATCTGTGGTTTGCAAATTAATTTGTCTGTACTCACTAGCCCTCTTTAAGCACAGATCCTAATGCACTGGCTGAATATTAAACAATTGACATGACTGCTAACGGGATTTTACAATGAAATTAACCCCTTTGTTACCCTTTTTATTTCCTGTAGTATTTCTTGAGACTTAAAGTGGCATTCTAAAGGCAATTTAAAAATCATGTCCAGCTCAGCTGAACAGAAAAAAGGGCCCACAAGACAGCGCAAATGTGGCTTTTGTAAGTCAAATAGAGACAAGGAATGTGGACAGTTGCTAATATCGGAAAACCAGAAGGTGGCAGCACATCATAAGTGCATGGTAAGTGTATCAAGAGCAACCCAGGGACCTGAAACCACAAAAACCTTAACAGTAACTATTCTTGAATACTGGGGGGGTGGGGGGTGGGGGGTGGAAACCACTCTTGTATTTTTAAGAAGTGATTTCTCATTAGCACTATGCTATTTTTACCAGAAAATGTCCTTTTAAATTTAACATTTTTATGCAATGTTTTGCTATAATTTCTTTATATGAAGTATAATTTTTTAATGTGCTTTATATAGCTCTTTTCATCTGCTTTGGTATCTTCACACTCTGATAACGAAAGTCTTGGTGGATTTTCTATTGAAGATGTCCAAAAGGAAATTAAAAGAGGCACAAAGCTGGTAAGTTGCTATTTCTGCCTCTTGAGAATGAAACTTATTTTAAACTCATTAAGGAGGAAATTGCTTATTTTTAGAGTGTATTGCATTATTAACCGTATAATTTTAAATTTAAGTCTTTTTTTTCCTTTCCAAACCAGCAAATTCCAAGCCTGGATTTAACTAACTTACCACTCACCAAAAAAAGAGAATGAATCACTATTTATGTTATTTTTTTTCCTTTTTGAAAAGAATGAAAATTGTCTTGGAGGCTGTATTGACTTAGAAAAGAAGCAGCTTGCTTAATCTAATGTATTGTATGTTAAGATCTTCATTCAAGTATATTTTCATAATTAAAATCTGGTGTTTTCCATTATTGAGTAATTGTGGTCACTACAAATGAAGATGGTATTATCCTTTCAACAAGAAAATGTTTAGCACTTGTTGAACAAAATACGTTTATGCTGTTCAGCTATATAACAGTATTTTCAATAACTGTTGGTGAGTTTTGAATTTTTTCTGAAGCTGTGATCAAGTAATATTTCCTAGTTGTCTTCATTACCAGTGTTCAGATTGGCAAGATACTGTGTTACTTTATTGGAACAGAAGTATCATCTCAGTGGGTATTTATGACATACTGTGATTTATATTGAGACTATTAATTCCAGTATTTCCTTTGGTTATTTTTCTCCTTTGATCTCCCCACTGAAAGTAAAGACTAATTGTTCCTTGGCTATCTTTGATATCCAGTATTTATCTTAAAGAAGACTTTGGCAGAACATCTTATATCTTTATGTTCATTGGTACTGATGAATCCCATATTTCACCAAAAAAATCTGGATTTTTTTTGGGGGGTCTACACCAGGCAATGCTCAGGGGTCATTGCTGGTTGTGTACTCAGGAATTACTCCTGGTGGTGGGTGCTCGGGGACCATAAGGGATGCTGGGAATCAAACCCGGGTCAGCTGCATGCAAGGCACGCAAGCAAGCACCCTACCCTCTGTACTCTTGTACGCTTACACTCTTGGCCCCCATTTCACCAAAAATCTGATGGGGTGAGAAGGACTGATTTTGATGATTGGGAATAATCTAGTTAGAAAAGTAGCCAGTCTTCCAGTATGAGACAAAAAAGTAATACCAAGAAGTTCCAAAATAACCTTTGTGATTTGCTTCAGGATCATCTCAAGGCCTAGAATCAGTATTGGGAATTCAGAGAGGAACTCAATGCAGTTTTCATTGCGATGAAATCCTAACTGAAAATATTTGTTTCCCTACCCTCCAGACTGTTGATAGCAATAGAAACCTCCATTTTTGGAAATGCACTTTTTATGTGGTGGTTTTAGAGTTCTTACTATATGGCTTGCTGATTTTTGAGAACTGGAGCAGTATGTTCGTATTTCCTACTACTTATCACACATGCAGGTTCAACGAATGGCTATTATTTACTTGAAGCTGGTTGTGCTGTAAACCATAGGCCCTGCTATTTACTTGTTGATATTATTAATGTTCCAGAAAAAAAAAGCACTTCTCCATTTGACTTATTTGCGTTTTGGTCACTCACATGGCTGGTCTGGTCAGAACAAGGAGCAGTTTGGGTCCCAAAGGTTACTAGTCTTAGTGCCATGCCTAGTTTTCCACAAAGCAGTGTCATATGCCATTCTAGCAGTATTATTAAATTCATTTTGGCAGTTTAATTTATTTGGTGGAGTTGGAAAGAAAGCAGCAGAACTTTGTACACCCTTCACAATTACAAATTGTCTTGATTAATTTTTAATGCTCTGGTATAGAGAGTTAATTTTTATTCCCAAGTATACTGCATTATAAATAGCTACCCTGATCTAGAGAGTGGAACTCTCTTGGAGAGTAAAGGGTATAAGCATTAGGACCAGACTTGGTTTTGAATTCCAGTGCTGTCACTTAACTGGCACGGTGACCATGGGCAAGTGATGTTCTCTATGCTGTTTTTGTCACCTGCCAACAGGAGATAACGGCAGTCTGTCCAACTTAGAGGTATAGTGAGAAGGAAAGAGGCTTGCTGTATAGGACTTATATCAGGGTGCCTGGCACATGGTCAGCCTTGTAAATGATAGCTACCATTGTGATTATTATTTGTGATGTCCATATAAACCTGCTAATGTCATAAGGCGAATGGAAAGCTTTTGGGGTACAGGAGGCACTGAGCTGGTTTTCACGTTAAACTCTGCCCCTGACACTCCAACTTGAAACAAGTCATTAAATATTTCTTTCTTACAGCAGCAAAGAGATAATGCTGTATCACTGCATACTAAACAATGACGGCATAAGCCTGAAAAGTGTTATGAGAGGGATATTAGCAATGACTGAGGAGAGGCGTTTTGAAGCCATTTTCAAGCTTGGGTATCTGCACTCAAGACCAGCAGCAGAACGGGAGTGCTTTGAGCCTGGATATAGAAATTGTGTTTCCTTTTCCTCCTCCCAAAATGTCAGAATTTAAATAACTTACATAAGGGATATGAGTGTAATATTTATGTGTTTAACTTGAAAGTGCATTGTAAGTTTCCTTTTTCGCCTTTCCTTTTGCTCCTTCATTATTTTTACTCGAAGTGCTATCAAGTAACCCAGATTTCATGTTTTTTTTCTTTATCTTTTCCCTGTGTAGATTTGTTTAAGCAATCAAAGGGACATGCATCAAATAGTAAGGGAGAAAAAAAGGTGAAGAGGTTTATGAAAGTAGATAACATATGAACAAGATAATTGGTTATCCTCATGGATTTTTAAAAAACGTTTCTGGTTTTGGGGATGCTGACGATGCTCAGTCAGGAGTTAATCCTGGCTCTGCACTCAGGAATTATTCCTGGCAGTGCTCAGGGGACCAATAGGGATGTGAGGGATTGAACCCCAGTCAGCCACATGCAAGGCAAACACCCTGCCCACTCTGGCCTCTCCTCATGGACTTTTTTTTAACGTTTTATTTTTCATAAAGTTGTTCACAGTAATTGATTACATTCAATATTTCAACACCAATCCCACCATCATTACACCTTCCCACAACTATTATTTTGAATTTTTTTTTTTTTTTTGCTTTTTGGGTCAAACCTGAAAATCTGTTTACCCTGGCTCTGATTCCTCTAGATTAAGTAGGTCATGAATACCTGTTGTAAATGGGCGGGAGCAATGGAAGGGCAGGTAGAATCTTTGCTTTGCACACGGCTGAACCGGGCCAACATGGGTTCGATCCCTGGCGCCTCATATGGTCTGCATCCCATATGGTCTCCAGAGCAGAGCCAGAAGTAAGTAACCCCTGGGCATTACTAGGTATGATCCAAAAAGCAAAGAAAGAAAGAAAGTGACTGGGGGGAAAAGCAGGTGTGTAATGGGCTGGAGAGATAGGACAGGGGTTAGGTGCACACAACCAACTCCAGTTTGATCTCTGGCACCCCATAAAGTTCTGTGAGCTTAGAGCCAGGAGTAAGCCCTTAACACAGGGGTGGCTCAATCCCCCCCCAAATCAAATCCACCCCTAACCAGTTCTACTCTGTACTTAGTGTGGGCTGCGGAGGTGCCCACTTGCCCCAGAAGAAATAGAAGTGGCTGGGACTTGGGAAGCCAGTGGCCAGGTTGCCAGGCAGGCACTGGAGTCTTAGGAGAGTGGGAGGTCTCTGTGGAGTGCAGTGTACAGGGGTGTGGTTACTGCTCTGCTGTTTCCCCGGGTACTTTGCAAGGTTTTCTTCTGGGTCACAAGGCACCAGGAAGAGAGCCGTGCTGTCCAGACCTCGGCACGTCTTTTTATCATATCCCCTTGAAGTATATGGGCTCCAAGATGAACCAGGAGAACTTGGCCAGTGTGTGAGGTTTTTCTTATTTGTGACTCTGGTTTTAATATCTATATATACATATATCTCCCACCCTTCAGTGATTTATGCTTCCTGTTGCGGCCATATGGAGGCAGCATGACTACCATCTACTCGGTCTAGTCTTAATTCTCCAGCCCAGTAGTGGAGAAAGAAGATTTCTAAGTGATGAATTATCAGGGCAGTTTGCATTTTGTTTCAGGCGACATTTGAGTCCGTTTGAGGAACAGATTTCTTTCTGAAAGAAGCCAGGTGGGGAGGTCATTAAGCATGTAGATCAGCATTGGTTAGTTCCTGTTCTAATGGGTACCTGTGTCAGATGGACCTGAGATTTGAGCAAGAGTTTGCCTTTCTTAACTCCCGGCAAGCTTTACTTAAAAGCCATCCAGTGGAAGGTTTTAGCTGCCCTCTTTTTGTTCCTTGCACCCACTGTAGAGGGTTAATTTCATGCTCTGAGTACATAATAAGCGACACCCATTTCTTCGTTCACAGGAATGGTTCAGTCGCCCAGTGTATTCATTGGTTATTACATAAAAGCCTAATTTAGGAACTTCTGACTTTTTTTCCTTGTAAAAATGTTTAGGGGTTGAAGATTAAGGCACATAGGATGGATGTTTGCCATGTATGTGACTGACTCAGGTTTGATTCCCCAGCACCCTATGTGGTCCTCTGAGCACTGCTAAGTGTGGCCCCCAAACGTAAAACTTAAAAGTGTTTATTTTAGGGTTTTGTTTTTGGGGGACGCCACACCCAGCAGTGTTTGGAGTTACTCCCAGTGTTGTGCAAGGGCTTTGAGGTGCCAGGGATCGAACCCAGACCCCCTCCACCTGTGAAACATGTGCTCAACATATTCAGCCAATACTCTGCCTCCTAAAATGCTCATTTGAAAGGATGAAACATTTAAAGATGAAATTTACCAATGTAAATAGACACCTGTGTGCTTTCAACCTCAATAAAATGGGTATTAATGTTTTTCTATAACTGCTACAGATTTCATTTATTATTATTTATTATTTTTATTTGGGGGTTGAACCACACCTGGCAGTGCTCAGGTATTACCCCTGGTTCTACACTTAGAAATCACTCCTGGTGATACTTGGGAGACCATATGAGATACTGGAGATCGAGCCCATGTTGGCCATGCTCAAAACAAGTGTCCTACCTGCTGTACTATCACTCTGGCCCCACATTTTT